GGGTCAGGAGTTTATTTCATCGGACAAGGTTAAAAAAAGAGGAGTTGTAATTTACGCGAAAGAGAGCCTATCACCGAAATTTATTTTTAAAGATGACCAAGGAATATATGTGGCAATTGAAATCCAAACACAAGGAGAAAAATTTCTGATAGTAGGAGTATATGCACCAAATGAGGGGAAATCTGAAATTTTTAAGAAGTTGCATGAGACATTGTTAGACTATATGGATTACAACATTATCATGATGGGAGATATGAACGGAGTGGTATCCACAAACATGGACAAGTTGCAGAGACAGGTAGTTACCAAAGATGGCAGACTGCCGAAAACCTTTTTTGAGATGACTGACAATATGGATTTGATTGACATTTGGAGAATAAAAAATCCCTTGGCTAGAGAGGGAACCTTCTTCTCTGAAGCCAAAATGACATGGACAAGAATTGACCAAATCTGGACTACTAGAGGACTGGCACCTAAGACTCGAAAAGTGGAAATTTGCCCTAAATCCTGCTCCGACCATAATGCTGTGAAAATGGAGATGAAATTAACACCCACTGGTTCCTTCAGATGGAGGATGAATGACACCTTGTTTAGAGATCAAGAAATTACCAAGAAGGCCCAAAAAACCTTGAGAGACTACTTTGAGATAAATATGAACACTACCATCGAAAAAAGAGTAATCTGGGACGCAAGCAAAGCAGTTATGAGAGGGTTTCTAATTCAACAGAATGCAATAAAGAAGAGAACTCAAAATGAGAAAAAAGATAAAATTTTGGAAAAAATAAAAGAGGGGGAGAAGAAACTGAGAGCGAAACCAAAGTCACAAGAGATTCTGAGAGAAATAAAGTTATACCAAGTTCAATATATGAAGATGATGAATCAGGAAATAGAATGGAAAATTAAACAGATGAAACAAAGGACATTTGAATCGGCTAATAAATGTGGAAAACTGTTAGCTTGGCAAATGAAAAAAGGACAAAAACTTAACATCATTACCAACTTGGAAGTGGAAGGAAAGAACATTCAGAATCCAGTGGAAATTAGAAAATGCTTCCAGAGGTACTTTAAACAGCTATATACACAAGGGCCACAGAAAGAGTGTGATTTAGACAAATTTTTAAAAACAAATGGACTTCAAAAATCTCCCAAGAAAATAAGTCAATGTTGAACTACAAAATAACAGAACAGGAGGTGGAAGGTGCCATTCAGAACATGCAGTTGGGCAAATCTCCAGGGCCAGATGGCTTAACCTCAAAATATTATAGGTCCTTGAAGGATTGGATAATTCAACCATTAAAGGAGGTTTGTAATGAAATTTTGGAGGGGAAAAAAGCGCCAGAGTCGTGGAAGGAAGCTTATATTACACTAATACCGAAAAATGAGTCTGAAAAGACACAACTTAAGAACTACCGCCCCATATCCCTGCTTAATGTGGATTATAAAATTTTTGCAGATATTTTGGCTAAAAGGTTAAAAAAAGTATTAGTGGAGGAGATACATAAAGACCAAGCTGGCTTTCTCCCAGGTAGACACTTGTCTGACAATACGAGGAATATAATTAACATTTTGGAGATGCTACAAGTGAATATTAATACTAAAGCTGTTTTAATTTTTGTAGATGCGGAGAAAGCCTTTGATAATATTTCTTGGAGTTTTATGAAGAAAGATCGTCAGGGGATGGGGGTTGGTCAAGGGTTTGAAAATGGTATAAGTGCAATTTACTCAGAACAAAAGGCCAAACTAATAGTTAACAATGTGGTGACAGAGGAATTCAAGATAGAGAAAGGGACACGACAAGGCTGCCCAATTTCCCCATTGCTTTTTATTTCGGTCCTGGAGGTTCTGCTAAATATGATTAGAAGGGACCGTATGATTAAAGGTATACAGGTCGGAGCTAAACAGTACAAATTGAAAGCTTTTGCAGATGATTTAGTATTGACGTTACAGGAGCCAGAATCTAGTACTAAAAGAGTATTAGAATTGATTCAGGAATTTGGTCATGTGGCAGGATTTAAGTTGAACAAGTTAAAAACTAAGGTGCTTGAGAAAAATTTAACACCGATTGAGAAAGAGAGGTTTCAGAAGGAGACAGGTTTAACACTGGTTAAGAAAGTAAAATACTTGGGGTTAATATGACCGCTAAGAATTTAAACCTATTTAAAGACAATTATGAGAAATGTTGGTCAGAAGTGAAAAAGGATCTAGAGATATGGTCAAACTTGAAGCTTTCCTTGTTAGGTCGAATTGCTGTTATAAAGATGAATGTATTGCCAAGAATGTTATTTCTGTTTCAATCATTGCAAATCTTAGACAAAATGGACTGTTTCAAGAAGTGGCAGAGAGACATTTCTAGATTTGTCTGGCAGGGCAAGAAGCCCAGAATAAAATTTAAAATATTAACTGATGCAAAGGATAGAGGTGGATTTGCCCTGCCAGACCTTAAACTTTATTATGAATCAGCAGCATTCTGCTGGTTGAAAGAATGGCTGCTTCTTGAGAACACAGACATTTTGGATTTAGAAGGTTTTAATAATGTTTTTGGGTGGCATGCATATTTGTGGTATGACAAGGTTAAAGCACATAAAGCATTTAAAAACCACATTGTCAGGAAAGCATTGTTAAATGTCTGGATAAGATATAAGGACTTACTTGAAAATAAAACCCCAAGGTGGTTGTCACCGATGGAAGCAAAGGCTCAGAAAAGGCTCAATATGGAGGCCAAATGGCCGAAATATTGGGAAATTTTGGAACAAGAAGGAGACAAATTGAAATTGCAGAGTTTTGAGAAATTAAAAGACAAAGTGCGAGACTGGCTTCATTATTATCAGATAATGGAGGCATATAATTTGGACAAGAAAATTGGCTTCCAGGTGGAAAAATCAAAATTGGAAACAGAACTGTTAGAACCCAAAACTAAGATTTTGTCAAAAATGTATAACTTGCTGTTGAAATGGAACACTCAGGATGAAACGGTGAAATCTGCTATGATTAAATGGGCACAAGACCTTGGACATAATATTATGTTCGCTGACTGGGAACAGTTGTGGACCACAGGTATGAAATTTACGGCATGTAATGCCCTAAGAGAGAATATTATGAAAATGATATACAGGTGGTACATGACACCAGTCAAGCTTGCAAAAATCTACCATTTGCCTGATAATAAATGTTGGAAATGTAAAGAAAACGAAGGTACATTCTTTCACCTTTGGTGGACGTGCCCAAGGATTAAGGCTTTCTGGGAGATGATATATAATGAATTGAAAAAGGTATTTAAATATACCTTCTTGAAGAAACCAGAGGCCTTTCTCCTAGGCATAGTCGGCCAATTGGTGCCAAAGAAGGACAGAACTTTTTTTATGTATGCCACAACAGCAGCAAGAATTCTCATTGCAAAGTATTGGAAGACACAAGATCTACCCACCTTGGAAGAATGGCAGATGAAGGTGATGGACTATATGGAAGTGGCGGAAATGACTGGCAGAATCCGAGACCAGGGAGAAGAGTCGATGGAAGAAAATTGGAAAAAGTTTAAAGACTATCTACAGAAATATTGCAAAATTAATGAATGTTAGAATGATGTTGGATAGAAACCAAGTGCTCTTTAGCTGAAATGTTATAAGGGAATATGAAAGAATGGTTTATTAACGGGTAAAAATCTAAAATTACAATATTCTATGATTAATGATTAGGATATACAAAGAGGGGAGGGATTTGCTGAACTAACAACTGAACTGGAATACAAAAAAGGGAGGTGTGAGGAGGTCCTGAAAACTAAGCAAATGAAGGATAAGTAATGGAAGGAAGGAATTGTTTTTAACCATTTCTACTTTGTATTTTTTCTTTTTTCTTTTTTTTGTTTTGTAACATTCTGAAAATCCTAATAAATAT